AACCATCAAAAGCCTGCGACCTAATCGCTATATAGGAGACATGAATACGCCCTGATATAAGTGACATGGAGATCGCACTGCGAAGCATGTCCATTGTTCCGTCTACGTTTACAAGGCGACGACACGTGCTTAGTAACGGTCATTTACCGCCCTCCTTCATCCACACGCGAGACGGACTTCCGTCTGCCATCCGTAATAAGGAAGGTGATAAACACAGCATTCACATTATTGGAGATTTCAACCTCCACGCTCTGGAATCCCGAGCAGCTTCCGGAGAACCGTTTAAGACCGATCTACAAGAGTTTGTCTCCAGTTACCCACTGTATGGCCACATCCACACTCCCACTCGATTCCGAGAAAATGATAAGCATTCGATACTGGATCGGATATTCACCAACGAAGAACTAATTGTCGAGGTGATCGTAGACGTCCCATTGGGCCACAGTGATCATGCAGTACTCCTCTTCGAATACATTTGCTATGCAAAATATCCCGTGGAAATTGTCGACGCAAGAAGAACGTATGCACGCTACCACATATTAGCCCGACTAGGTGAGACAGCTAACTGGACCTTCCTGGCAGACGCGGCACTAGCTAGTGCATGGGAACATTAAGCCAGCCAGTTTAACTCTCTGGTTGCCGAAGCGTCAGCGACTAAGAGCTTCCGCCCGAGAAACTTGGTCTCGTTTCTGCGAAGCAGGACTCGCAGGTGTATAGCGGTGAGAAACTCAGCCTGGCATACCTACAAACTCTCCCGAGCTTTAAGATCAGGATGGCCTATGCAACATAAGGTAACCAAGGTGCTCAACTTATTCGCGAGGACTGAATGGCGTACCAGCAGAAGTTGGCAGTGAGTATGGCCTCAAAAGACAAGCTTCTGGATCAACACGTCAACAGTCCACCTAAGGTGAAACGGGGAATTCCTCCTCTTCAAACAGCTGGACGGACCCATAAAGACACCGAAGGAGGCGGCGAATATCATGCGCACACAATATACTCCAACGTTTCAGTGCCATCGCTGGCCACCTAACCATATCACGATGGCTGTTTTACCCCCAACACTCAATCACATATCCTTCACAGCAGAAGCTGTACTAAAAAGATGTTGAGTATGCGCAAACACATCTTTCCTGGGGTTGATAATATACACAAGAAATCGCCAGCGACGGTAGGAGAGTTTAGCTGAGATTTTGGTTCGATTCTTCCAACACTGATTTGAGATGTACGTGCCCGATATGTGGAAACAAGGGCTGTTTACTCATATTCACAAGGCAGGTAGTCGTTTCAATCCAGCCAACTACCGTCCCATAATCTTACTACCGGTTATCTCAAAGGTCATGGAAGCTATTATTTCTGATGCGTTAATGGCCTAAATGGAGGAATTTAACTACCTCGCATTGGAATAGCATGGCTTCCGACGAAATCGATCGTGCACTACAAATATACTACTAGCCCGATCCAGCTGGACTGAAACAGTAGACTCTGACTCTCGACCGCTCAAAGGCGTTCGACCGGTTAGACCATAACATTCTGCTCCCAAACTCCAAACTTTTGGTATTGGTGATCCTCATCTAGGATAGATCAGAAGCTTTCTTCTACACCGGCGTCTGGAAGTACGAGTGCGTGAATCCCTGTCAGATCCCATCCAAGTTGAATGCGGAGTACCACAAGGATCGGTACTAGGACCGCGATTATTTGTGACGTATATTCACGATATCACACGCACCCTAAGATCAAACTGCCTTCTTTATGCCGATGACATCAAACTGTGGAGAGCGATCAAAACAACAAGTTCTTCAAGCTGATCCGGATAGGGTACAAGAGTGGTCAATCCAGTATCCACTTCGATTCAATGTGGACAAAGGTAGTTGCATCTACGGTACAAGTTGGTGCACTCTTACAAACTCGGCAACCAGACGCTTCAAAGGTCTTCTGGCGAGGACTTAGGAGTTTTGGTCCAGGTCGAACCAGAATGAAACGACGTCTAGGAGTGGCATCCAACATGTGAATTTTCTGAAGCGTGTATTTGGACGATTTGACCCTTCGAATTTTCTACAACTTCTCGCCTCATACATACGGCCACATGTGGAATACGCAATACAGGTCTGGCAACTATGGCTGAGGAGAACTCTCACCGCCTCGGAGATACCCCAACGCCAGGCAACCAAGGATGTCAAGGGTCTGCATAATTTGAAGTGTGAACGAAGGCTACCAGTGCTCGGGATCTTCAGCGAACAGTACCGGCGATTGCGCGGGGACCTCATTTTGACTTGCCAGACTTTGAGAGATCCCAACCACACGTTCTGCTACTTGTTAGAGTTCAGTCATGACAGTAATTTTAGAGGCCATCTCAAACTGACAGAGCAGGACAGCTGCTTGGAATGCCGTGCCGAAATCTATCATGTGTTCCCACGCTGGCAAAGTTCAAAGCCCCAGTCGACGGTGCACTTATTTCGCTGTACCATATTACAGGACCCATTAACCGTGGATAAACACAAGTGCCTGTAAGAGCTTTCACTAACGATCAAATTCCAGATTTCGCTTCAGGTTTTTCGCCTCCTGTATGTGAACATAAGGAGACTCTAGCTTTACCAACATACCAATCGGCGTCGATTCTCATGGATTTACAGTCCATACTACGTATACTTCAGTGAATACATTGGTGTACACCCCATTTTGCTAACAAGCTTTTGTATGTTGAAGTTTCACCATAACCATCCTACAGAACCTGTTAAGCATTAGATATGTTACCGATATAAAACTATTGTTCCATTGTACTGATGCATATTACTAGGGATAGTAAAGACAGGTACTCCTGATTTTACCGTTTTCATGATTTCGCTTCAAGTTGCTGTTGCACGTTGATCATTTATAGGAAGTATTAGTCGCCACCCAGTTTTCAGACCTATACAGTTCCTATTAGTAGCGGTCTTTATAAGGTCCGTCGCAATGAGACTTAACTTTAACGGGGTGCGACGGTTTGCGCATCTCGTCGACTCACTGAGCTATACTAGATGGTGCCTCCGGGCCCCTGGATAGCTAATCCTACCAGGTTGGTTAATACTTAGAGTTCAGACAAACTCAATCACCTAGTCCTCCAGGTTGGGGGTTTGAAATGGGATGGCGTTCCATTTCTGTAAAACTAAATCATTGCCACCTCCCCGCTGCCTTGCGAACAGGCTTTTGAGCCAAAGACTCTGGTTGAGGACCCTAATCGTCCTTCTGTCTAGATCTGGGCTCCCTGGCGTTATCTCAGCCCACATAAAACCATGAAAATTTCCACAAACTCTGACTATATCTCGCATCGGCCGTCGCGCAGATTATCAAGTGTCGACTTAGCTACTGTATACAACAGGGCGGATAAGCGAAAACATGCTACTGCTGACGCCTCCCTGCTTTTCTCCCTATCAGTACCCCTTACTCTCATTCCGACCCCCATTACTAATCTTCCTCCTATAATTCTCAGCTTAACTGACAGCAACCGAAGTGGAACTGGAGTGAAAGCAACTGCAGCCACCTTTACACAACAACCAGCAGACGCCTATCGGCAACAGCTCCTTATAAAGCCACGCTGTTCCGTTTCCCTGGCGGTGTCCAACGTCCGCACTTCAAGACATAGATCAACAGCCTGCACTCGCACCTACGTTGGACACACTGGGCATTGACCAAGGTAGTGCGTCCGAAACTAGGATCAATGACCCTAATAGGGTTATTGCATTAAATACACCCGGCTTGTCCTCTCGCTATTGGTTGCACGCATCCGAGACGACGATGCAGCACTCACGGGTTAAACTAGGGTATGTACCGTTCTCAGCACCGAGGCTGAGTCATTGTTCGTTGATTGCATTATGGTGAACAGCCGTTTATGTGCAGCCCGTTTGACGATATCAACTAAGATTGATTCACGAAGTAGTACAAAACGCTATTTATTTGTGAATTCAGCCTATGCGCCCACCGAAAGGTTCTGATGCTGCTAAGGACACCTTCTAAGACGAACTGAACGCGCTATTACGCAGTGCTACTAGCTCAGATATGATAGTACTTGCAGGGGATATGAACGCACAAGTAGGGCGTCTGAGCTCTGCAGAAGCTCAGCTAGGTGATAATTATGAGCTTAACTCTGAACGGACTGAAAACGGCGAGCGTCTGCTGCAACTGTGTGTGGAGCAACAGTTGTTTCTTAGTAGCACGGCTTTAAGACAATGTGGTGTCCTCCTGTAGCCCGCCAGCAACGGACCCAAATTGACCACATCACCATAAGTTACAGGTGGCGTGGTTTCATCCTGGATTGTCGCTCGTTCTGGAATACTTGCGTCGAATCTGACCATGCCTTGGTACGCTGTCATTTCTTGATGTGCTTTACCGGGACGCGCAAAAGGCGCCTCCTTCGATTGGCAACTGAGAAATTGTCTCAACACTCGGTCAGGCGAGCCTATCACGACGCACTGCGTACCGAATTTTCGCTGTCTTGTCCTAATGATAGAGCTACAGTAGAATAGGTTCAAGACCATATAATTTCACCTTCATCAATTTGTCTGTAACTCCAATGTTACGCTAAGCTGTTTCCGCCTACTACCCGCATGTAAGTTGTGCCTTGTAAGTTGTTCTGCTTCGAGGAATTGCGAGTATAAGATTATATAGCAAATCCTCTCCGTGCGGGTAGTACGTATAATCTAGGTTTCATAGTCTCCAGTGCTCATCAGATACCTATCGTAAGACACGCTAAGATTTATGTTAGTGCCGTTGCTACAGTCGTGACGATTATGGCATCTTGTTCGTATTCGGTAGACAAATATTTGTGGTCGATTTATCATAATAAAGCAAAAAGCCCTGCCTCCATTGGTGATTTGACAAGGTTCATGCGTTAAGCAGTGTGGAAATATATCGGTATGAAATTGTCTAGGCCATGAAGCCCCAAGGGAGGGTCCCCATTTGGCGCGTCACGGAAACCACAATCAGCAACAGCATGTCATAGTTTGCCGCCATAAAACAACAAAGTAGAGGAGACGAATTTACTGATAAAGGGAGAAAAAGAGAGGAGGAGATTCAATGCAGCACTCGGATGTATTGAGAAAAAGGTCTGAATTATTTAAACTGAACCTTGTAAGTATCGCAGGGTCACAAACAGCATGCAGCTGATAAGGAGACATTGGCGAGACAGATTCATTGCTCAGTAGTCCATTCGGACCTAGTGGAATACAAGCACCAAACGAGTGGTCCGGTATTAGGGAAAAGGCCAGTAAACTGGCATGTGTGAACACCACATTCGCCTCTAATCCAGCAGGAGATGGAGGAAACGCTGCGCGTTCAATGCACCTGAGGTGTTATGCGATTCCAGGAAACTTCATTAAGCTGAGGGTGCAACAGTGCAGGCGTTCCATGGTTGAAAATTAGAGCAGCTTAGGACAGTGTGGTCGACACGCAGAAGGGAGTGGGTGAGGAGCAAAATGCTTGGATTCAATGGAAAAGATAAGCTGTGTTAAGTGTCATAGTGGGGCGTGGATAGAAGCGAGAAAATAACATAAACGCCCAAGTGGAGGCCACAAACCGTACCAGTTGCCTGAAAGATCGTTGAAGTAAAGGAAAGCATGGAACAGAGAAAATAACGGGTGCACCGTCACGTAAGTTAAGGGGTTACCCCCAGGCCATAAGTGCCGAGGGGTGGTCGATAGAGACGAGGAAAGTAGAGCAGCTGGAGCCGGTTAAATGCGTATTTTCGACCACCGGTATTCTTGAACAAATTCTCCATTCTTAATCCGGTCCTGCGTACACACTCCAATGCGGAGTGAACATAGCTTTCGTTTAGACCCTCAGCGTTCTGTGAAGGTAAAAGAGGAGGAAATTATCATGGTAACAAAAGTGAACGTCGCTTAAGAAATGGTTAGACGAATGGGGGAATGTAAGAAACGTAAGCAGAGCGGATGAGTTGATCGGTAACGAGCACAAGTCCAAGTTGCACAAAATTGAAGCAGCGTAGTTGCAATACCGTCTCACTAGGAGGGTGAAGAGAACTGACGCGAAACCTCTTGCGCTACGCGCCCATCTGGTTTAGATGGACACAAGACACTGGGGAGTGCTGAAAGGAGCATGACACACCACAGTGATGTGAGCAATTAGCTATATTCACAAAATGACTGAATGACAAGCAAACAACAAAGTACTAAAGTCAGTCGGATAGGAACACAATTGGTGTGTGTGTGTGTGTGTGTGTGTGTGTGTGTGTGATAACAAGGCTGTTACATTCAAAGTTGGAGGAGCAACACCGAAATATTTCCACAACTGTTACATGATGCGAATGTTCACGACAGGTAGGTGAACTGAGGAAAGAGCGTCAGCGCATGTAGGAATCTCGCGAGAGAAAATCTTCTCCACCGGCTGCATCAAAATGACCACTCGAGCAGTATCCGAGGGGTTTAACGGAACGCTAAGTAAACAAGTGCTCAAGAGCACGAACAAGGAATCACAAAATATCAGCGCTTAGACAGTACTCAATTTCATTATGAGGGAAAGTGGAAAAATAAGACATAACATTAGATAGAAGAGGAAAAAACGGTGTCTAAAACTACATCTTAGTGGTAAGTTACTACAGGTGGTCGCAGGTATACAAAAACAGTATAAAGACAAGCGAGAAGAGCCGGCGGTTAGCAGCGCGTCATGGGTAGCAAATGCTCCGACTCCGAAGTAAGGAAAGTAAGTAGATGAGGCCCGATGGAAACAATCGAAGACCGACTGAACAAATGCTGGACATCTATATCAATGACAATGCTGTGCGTAATGAGATGTTTAAAATGCACTCGGGAGTTAACATTCCAGTACCCAAATGGGCCATAGGAGTAAGTGGAAAATGAAATCTAACAAAACCAAAAGTCCTCATGTGAGTTGTTTACAAATACAGTCGAACCCGCTTTACTGACCACCTGGTTTATAGCCCACCCCAATTTATTGCCCAATTTTTCGAAACAAATTCTTTTCACATAAATATGCTAAATTTTCACCGTCTAACTGCCCATTGCCGGGGTCGTCCCACCGCTTAATTGTCCAGCTGCGTGGGGTGTGCTCTTGGCGCTTAACCAATTGTATAAATTATAAGGGAAGGTGTACGCTTGTTGGCACATGAGTTGCCATGTAATGGCCCTATCTTTGGGCAGAGATGGAGTAGGGTCGATGCAGTTGAGACGTTGGACACATCACAGTTGTTTAGCGTGCTCGGTAACTAGGGCATTGGCATGAGCACAGCTCAGGAGGCAGATTGTTGACTTGAGGAGAGCCCAGTGGATACAGTGGTAACACTGGGGCGAGTTCAGTGGGAACTGCGGGATATGTTGGCCGCGTTTTCACTGAGTTCCACTCCGTTGTGATCTGCGCGGATGAGTGGACCCTTGGCGGCAGTTTCCGTAGTGAGAGGTTCGCTCTGAACTGAGTTGTTTACGCCTCGGCATAGTGACCGTGTTGTTCGGGCCCGATAGTGTACTGACGCCAGTAAAACCCGGGTGCGTCTGGCAGGACTGTGCCAAACCTGTAACAGTAACATACGTCATCCAATAAACGAGCAAGCTAAATGTACCAACGGCTGTAGAAAAACCCTCGGCCCTATTCAAAACTCGAGAACTAAGTACTCTGTTGGTTACACACAAGTAGGACCAGTAACACAAAGGATTTGTCCTTGACAGAAAAGTTGGAGGTTTTGGAAGAAACAAAAACTTGTTCACCAGGAACCTCACAGGCCAAATTGTCGTATCATTTACACATTTCTCCGCGTACCCTAGCCAGGTTGATTACCAGCGAAAAGGAATTCCGGCAAAATATGTCGCATGGCACTGCAAGCTCTCAGAAAAGGAAGCGATGTGGAAAGGATGACGAAGTTGAAACTGCATTGAAAGACTGGATCATATCGGTTCGTGAGCACAACCAAACAGTTACAGACCAGCTTCTGAAGGAAAAGACAGCAGAATTCGGGGGGAAAACCTTGGAAAAAATTTTGCTGCCACAGAAGGATGATTGCAAAGATGAAAGAATAGAAAGCAAAATGCATATAAACGTGCGCATGGCGAAAAGATTTCCGCGGAAAGAGCAGTCTGCGAAAATGGGCTGAAAGATCGACTGCCTGGACTTTTAAATGCATTTGATAATGACAACGTGTACAATGCAGACGAAACAGGACTTTTTTATCGAGCAACTCCAGAGGGCACTTTGTGTTTTTCTGCCGACAAGATCAGCTGGTCGAAAAAAAGCCACGGATAGGATCACTTTCCTGTGCTGCTCAAATATGTCAGGCGTGGATAAAAACTGGTTTCGATTGGAAAAAGTAAAAAACCACGATGTTTTAATGGCGTGGATTTGGACACACTTCCCGTAAATTACAGAGCTAACAGAAGTGGGTGGATGACGGAAGCACTTTTTACCGAGTGGATCCTCGAATGGGATAAGGAGCTGGACAAAAGTGGCCGAAAAATTTTGTTGCTTTTGGATAACTGCACAGTTCATTCACAGGTAGGTCTGAAAAGTATACAAATGGAGTTTTTGCCGGCAAACACGACCAGCATTCTTCAACCCACGGACCAAGATGTGATTATGATTATTAAAATCCGTTAGAGAAAGGAACTTGTGGACCGAATTCTTTAGCTCATCGAAAACAACGTGTTATCTGGTTCATTGTGGGCGGTGGATGTCAGTGCCAAGATTTCTGTGCTCGATGCAGTTCAGTTCGTTTGAAAAAGTTGGAGGCAGGTTACCGGTGCAACAATAAAAGCTTGCTTTCGGCATGCTGGCTTCAGTCGACTGGCATCCGATGCACTTTCTGATGATGCCTTCTTCACTGATGTGGAGATTAGCGCTTGCACAATCCCAGTCAATTATGCAGAAGAGTTCGTCGCCATTGACAACGATGTGGAATGCACCTCAGATCTGACAATTGTTGAAGATGAAATCGTCGGCAAAAAATTTCAGAGAACCAAATAGAACAGAAAGAAGGCAGCGACTCAGATGATGACGTGCCAGATGCCTCCGTGAGTAAAAGTAATCAGCGCGTGTCGCATTCAAGGGCGAAGAACTGTGCGATTGATCTGTATAGCTACGGACTTTGCATGGGCTAGGCAACGATCTCATGCCCAAATTGGAGTTCATCAGTGTAAAAGTGACCGGAGTAACCGCACAAACTAATGTACAACAAACGTTGAATTGTTTGCTTGGCAAAAATATACAGTAGCGCCAGTTTCTATAACTATCCAGGTAAGATGCTTTATGTTATAATTTTTAAATTATAGGTCATGCATGTAGCGGTTAAGATTACAGTATATTTTACCACCCGTTATCGACAGTTTGGTACCAGCTGTTTAAATTCACAAAGGCTGAATACAACATCTTCAACGCGCTCGCGTCGTGCTGGGTTCGTTTGCTGCTGCCTGTGCTTGTGCTACGGCCACGTCTTTCAAGTAGTCCTATGTATGTCTTCGAATCGCTAGTCGGCTTTTTACTAACGGTAACTAAAGGAAGCACTGTAACGCGTGTGCTTGATTGTTCTTTTATTGTGAGCTTTTTGCCCCAGAACTTGAAGGTTCTACGTACCGGTCTTCCACATGCCCTTCTGAATAAACGTCTTTTGTATGTTGTTACAAGTACGTATTTTAACCTTCTTAGAAGGTTACAAATCAGGTGATGTACTGTACAATAATTCGATGGGTATTTCCCTTTTGGAAAGAGGCAATATCGGTTCATTGCCCACCCCGCTTTACTGCCCACTTCTGAAATATCCCGATGGCGAGCAATAAAGCGGGTTCGACTGTATGCCGGAAATAATGCAAGGCAAAGTGAAAGTTGCACTCTCAAGTAAAATCTGCCAGTCATGTCACTCTACCGGAACAATTTCCGTGCCGGCTGCTACACGGATGTCAATCCTGCGCAAATGAATTCAGGAAGCTGTGTAACGTTAAGAAGGCAGACAATTTTATGGCAAGGCCAGTGAAGTGTACGGCGTATGTGAAGCCAACTATTGAGATGAAATCAGAACTGAAACCGGAAATAAGGCGGTTGAAGGTTAAAGTGACAGTAGACACTCAGCTCTACTAGACACACGAGTTTGGACATGGTGGGGTGAAACGCAGCGCAGCGGGATTCCCGAGAAAACTCATCGGGTAACGAAGCAACACTGCGAGTGAATGCAAGAATAATCTGAAGTGACCCCCTGCAGAAAAGTCAACGACGAGACAAACGCAATTCACTATTAAGTTCATAAAATCAAAACGAGAAACCAGCAAGTGAAGCCCCTGAAGGATCGAGGGTCTAGTGAGTCTTCCTTAGAAGCAATCATTTTGACCCGCATTCCAAGCCGAAGCGGACTTCAGTCAAGATCTAAAGATGTTTGGGGTGTTGGTTGAAGGCTGTTGGAAAAGAAAATCGGCGTGAGTAAAACCGGGTTTCCCACAGTCATTAATCAAAGAAAAATAGCCTGTGAAGGAAATCAGAAAGTAAGCATGATCCTAGGACGCATATCTCTTAGCCGATGAAGTCTATAATTCCAATGCTTACTCACCTTAAGCCATCTGATTTGCTCCAAAGTCAAGGACATGGATGTGCGGTCTTTCGCCGACTTGCAGCTGGTGAATCGGAGACCTCCGAGTGCTTGAGTTGCCTCCGACGCGAATTCGAGTAACTCAACCGGTTTGCTACGCGGAGGGGAAGTGAGTAAGTGACGAATATTGGCTATCAGATCACACACATCGTGATTAGATGGGGAGCGAGCTAAAAGTGTAAGCAGAAAAGAAAAAAAGCTTAAACCCAGTGAGATCCGGGGAACCGGTCAAGTATAAACCACGTCACCATGTCCGTTGGAAAATTACCAACGCCTCAAGTGGGTGGGAATGGAGTATGTACAAGATCGGGACATTTGTGGATTCCAGAGATGGGACCATGCGAATGAATTGGAATTAAAACTGTTAATTGGCGTTCGTGACACATTGCTTTGAAGCGCTAAGGAATTGGACAGAAAATCTTAACAAAAGCCTAGAAATTGACCGTGGAGATGCGATGTATCCAATGTATGCAGCAATGTACATTTGATGAGAACTAAAAAACCCAATACCTGGAACCGAATAAGTGTGCACTCTGTTGAATACGGTGTGATCGACTTGACAACCAGTGATTGCCGAAGAGAGATTAAATAAAAGGCAACAGAGAACAACTTCGATTTGTCGAAAGCAATCAGTGGGTGAACAGAGGTGAACATGCAGATAAATCAGACATCATAACGGTTGTAGATTTGGTGAGTGATGAAAAGCGATTGACAAGTAACAGCAGCAACAACAACAGCAGTACATCAGCTATTTTAACTGATACTTCGCTGACATACAATCATTATGACCTATGAAATAAAGAATAATAAGAGGGAGAGAAGGGGGACTTACAGGAAAAACTTAATGCCAAGATCCTATTCCAACGAAGCTCAGTGTCATTAGAACAAGACAGCGAAAGTTCGGTATGCAGTGCGTCTTGATGGGCTTGCCTGACTGATTGACAAGTGCCACCCGATCAAGGAGTTACTCATGACAGTAATGCAGCATCCATGCGAAATATCTAACGTCACTAAGGAATCGATTGAGTGTTGAACAAGTACGCACGCGTCTACCTAACTCACAGCTTAACTCGTGCAGTGTAGGCAGAGTCCAAAGCCTAGCTCGTAAAATCAGCGCACAAACGCAAAGTGGTTAAGAAGTGGAGCAGCCCAAGTACGAGTGTTGCATTCGGCGGTTCCTCAGCTCGATCTCCGTTTATCATAAAACTTATCAATAAATGAGTAAGGCAAAAACAGGAGCTTTGAGTGTGGTGTACTCAAGCCAAACCGATGTAACCAACCGTAACAGTCGGGCCGAATAAGATGAAAAATAAGTCTAAAGAGGAGAAATATAGGCATTATACTAGACCAATATACAGCCAAAACTTCGAAGTAGACCACCTCCCTAAGTTGACCGCTTCAATTCACACTGATCGAACGTTCACCGGTAAAGCTTATGGACACAGATCTCTACAGCTTAACCACATTAGTCCAGTCCCCCGAACGATCAACTTACGCAGGTTTCACTGTATCAGTAGATCAACGGAGCACCAGCTACCGACACCGAAGAGAGGAAAGGCTATCATCGTCCAAGGAACCTTCCCAGATATGTGTGGTGATCACAATGGAATCGATTATTGCGAATACATGACCCAAAAAAGTAGATCCAGATAAAACAGAAAAAATGTAGAGCCTGCCCCAATATTCTGGTCACTTCACTCTGTTAATGTGTGACAAAGCGTCATTCCTTCGGGTGTGAGGTAGAGCGCACTGAATTGCCAACTGTCCAATAGTAGATGTTGGTCTATCTCAAAATGTCTCACCCGGTCACATGGGTGTAGAACGCCCGTATTCATACATGTGAGTACATGTGTACTTGCCAGTGTCGTCCAGCTTGGAAACGTTGGATCATGTGCGGATGGTTGAGTTGGAGTCAACCTACGGCGCGCCACAAGGTAAGCTCACCGATCGATACACACGTTGTGCAGGGCTCGTTGGAATGGAGAGAAGTGTGCAAAACGGAAACAGTAGTGCCCCATAACCTGGCTACGGCGGTAGAATTGTGGTGCCGATTCGACAGGCGTAACTGGCCTGAGCAAGGAGTGTGCAATAGGTGCTTAGTGTTGTCCCAGCTAGTGACAAAAGGGTTATTGGCAACGCTCTTGTAGACTGAAACTTACCTTACAAAAACCTACCTTAGCAAAATAGGCATTCCTTACAACTAGGCCTTGCAACTGTGAAATGTAACGTTTTAGGAAAGGCGATTTAAAAAGCCATGCCGCCTAAAGACTACTCGCTGCCGCATAGCCTATTCTCCCATCGCAGTATTGATCGCCGTTGCAGGAAACAAGTGTGGTTACGCTGCCCAATTTGTTTCAGGCGGGACCATGAGCGTTCATTCCAACGTATTCACTGATGAGGCAATATTCTATTAGCAGAGAACTGAGAAGCTGCATTTCTAGGCAATATCTAATCCACGAGGATACTGGGAATCACGTGTTGCAGGGCAGTGTTTTAGGTCCGTTACTCTTCCTACTGTATATAAATGACCTCGTTTCTGTTATACAATTTGGGAAGCCTTATTTGTTTGCTGATGATTTAAAGGTGGTTTACACGTTCCCAGGTTTTCAGCGTACCGCTGAACTTGATAACATCCAAAGTGAATTGAAAGCCATTGGGAGATGGGCTGATATGTGGCAGATGACGTTTGCAACATCGAAGTGTAGTATTCTAGCGTACAGAAGTCAGATAGAAGCAGAAGTGTTTAGACTTCATGACGAATTCATTCCCATCAGCCAGTCAGTTCGTGACTTAGGTTTAATATATTCTAATTCGTTAAAGTTTAACGAACATACAAATCAGATGGTGAAAAAGGCCACGCAGTCGATCGGGCTCATATGCCATCTGCTAACCTTGAAAGAAACCAGACTAATTGCTTTCAAAATCAGTATCAGCCTGTTTCTTAAATATTGCTGTGTTACGTTCAGTAACTTGTGAAAGGGTGATTTGAGAGTCAATGAAAACGTCCAACGCGCCTTTAAGAAGCGCATATTTGGATATTCAACTGCTCTTTCATACATAGGCGCAAGCAGTGGAATCTTGAAACTCTGTGGTTAAGAAGAATGCAAATTAAACCTGTGCTTCCTCCACAAACTCGCGTGGCGGAAAGCATATGTTGGAACCTATCAATTGCACTTTCGGGAAAATACCAGTTATGAACTGCGAGATAGTGAATGTATATCCTATTTACCTAAATTCAAGACCAGCCTAAGGAGAAATTTCTACCTTCTAAGTTATTGTTCCATTTGGAATAAGCTGCCAAAAGAGATTCGATGTATTGAACATTTCTGCAGCTTCAAGAAAATAAAGGCTTATCTGTCAACGGGTAGACGGAAATGGATCTAAAAAATCAACGATGATGAAAAGCTGTATGAAGAAGGGCTGGATCATGTACAATACCGGAAAACATTAACTCGAATGCACTAGAGAAAACATGATCATTTAAGATGAGCTGTTACAAAACGCTTCTTATGCTATTCTTTAATGCTACCTCTTATGCGGCTTTACTCCTTTCAAACTGAATTCATACCGTCTTCTGTTTAAAACCGAGAGCAAAATCATTTACTGATGTGGCGTCAGGAACTATTTTCGTAATTTCCCCACAACTTGATTAATTCCTAATATTGTTCTGCGATCCCCTTCGCTACATTTGTTCTGCAGTGCTAATCATTTCACCTTCTTATCTGGAGTTAACAATCCAGAAACCTGTACTTGAATTCAGTGACGGCAACAACGGATTCCCTATGTGACTTTTGCCTGTGGACAACTCGTACAGTTATCTGTCTCCGGCTGTCACGCCACACAATTTGATCGTGTGATCGGCTCGATCCATTTTTACGCTGATTTAAAAAACATACTTGACCATTTTTCATATTAACGATATAGTACCTCTTTCACAGAATTCTTCTTTTCTACATTCTTTCTTATTTCATTGTTGGCCATGACTGGGCTGATCTCCTGTGGTGACGGATTATAGCTTTCAGATTACAAAAGACTTTACCTATGCAAGGCATATTGCCACAAATTGACTGGCGTATAAAAAGTGTCATAATTGCATGACCCGCATAACGGACTGGGCTGAGGCTTCATCGCCCATAATACATGTACAAAAAGCAGCTCTAAAAAGAACACAAGATATGATAAACAGGTGATGGCACATATGCTATTATGCCGCACCGGCACGCGGCCAGGTATAGCATGGAAGTGCGGGGCGAAACCTTTTGATGGAATACCTTGCATGGAAGCAGGTCCCTTGGGGACGGTCCCACGAGTGGCCATATTACTTTAACTGGACATCCGTTTAAATATGCATATGTTATTGTTCCTGGTTGTTTTAATTTCTTTAATACCTTAATCCAGCCAATTACTTTAATACCTGATTTGGATCCATTGTAAAAGGCGTAAACAAACTGATTATTTTTTGGGATCCTGTTGTACACATTGATCAGACCACATAGTTGGACTGCACCTCGAATCACATTTGTTTATGCATTTGTTCATTTAGTTAGTTAGTTAACTGTGCTGATTCCGAACACGTTTGTGGTGACCGTTGCCAGCAAGCATAACAAAGTATGGTTGCATTACGTTGACCAAAGCTTCGTTGTGTCTATAGGCACGGTGAAAAGTCGCATTGGCCGAATTCCTCGTGAAATCGTTGCCAGTACCAACCTAAACAAAAGACAACGTCTCTCATTTGCAGTATCTTTTTATACAAGTGGAAAAATACGTTTCCTATCCTTCATGTTGTACAGTGCTGGCACTGTCGTAATTTTGCGGATGGACCGATCAGTAAGCAGGCAAGTTTTACAGTGACTAGAACCAGGCAGTATGAATCACACTTTTTGAGTGGAACACTTGCTACCGAACCGTACGAGGAGCTTAGTGTAACGAAGTTCAACCGCAGAAGCTTCAGTGTGAATCTGCTACAATAAACACTGAGTTGGGAATTCCCTATGCAAATAAACACTAAATGAAAAGTGGGGATATCAGAAGTGGATGAAGGCGTTCAACTCCCATCACAATAAAAAATGCCACGGTTAAGTTGTCATAGAGAATGCAGTCTATCACTGTCCCCAGAATCGATTCTTATAATGATTTGTGGAACAGTACCAGCTGCCGAATTGAAAGCCTG